ATTTTCCGAAATGTGAAATGACATTCATCCATCCTTTTGTGTTACTGCATCAACTGCCATTTTCATGTCGTGTATTTGCAATAGCATTCAATTGAGAAGTATCCGATCAGTAATCTGATTAATGCAATTGATAACAATCCGATCAACTGATAACTTAAGCCATGTGATCAACGCAAGCAACTTCAGCCAGACGTACCGTTGCTCGATTCCACGCCAGACATGCCTGTGCCACCCGTTCAACTCCCACAACCGGAACTTGACGATTCACTGAAACCGGACACACTGTCCGAACAAGACTTATTGTCAAAGCCTGCGGCTGCTGAGATTGATCATCCGGAAGCCAACGAGGATCATCGCAGTCCTATTGAAGGTCTGCTTGCACGCAACTGATGCGATCCACTTACAGTTTTGAATTCCTCATTTGAAATATTACACGGTCACAGTTGAAATTCTTCAACTGAAGTCTTGTCTGAACATCTTCGAAGCGTTTCACAACCTCTCGAGCATATTCTCAGCGTAGTCATAATTTTGATTTGCAGATTTATTGGACGGAAAGTCGTGTCCATTCACAGCGGGTCTCGCATGCGCGATTGTTGATGATGCCACTTCGGAGTCTGCATTCAGAAAAGTTCATTATTCAGAATTTGATCGCTCTGAATCTTCTCATTTTTAATTTCTCTGTTCTCTGTTCAACTCTCCCTGTTCTTAGAATCTGCATTCCCCACCGACGTAATGGCTGAGTAGTGAATGAAATTTGTGAAAATTTCATCCATTTAAAACAATTTCCATTGAACAATTGTCTTTCCACTTACAGCTGTCCAGTCCGCCAGCAGTGGACTTAACCAAAAATGTTGCCGATTTGACCAAACCCACTGAACTTGACACTACTGGAGCCAAGATACCAAACGGAACTGCAACGCTGCATTCACCAATGGTCAGTAGAAAAGTATTTCTGTGAGCAGAAAGCATTCTTCAATGCTTTGATTTTCTTTTCTTTGCAAAATCATGTGCGATTCACCTCTCATTTTTCATACTCATAAATTCTGCATTTCAGAAACTCAGTCAAAGAAGCGCTCCAGGATCGTCACTAGGCGATAGTCTTACATCGCCGTTATCACCAGATTCTACAAACACTCAGGTCCTAGCATTTTTCATCGCTCTTTCTTACCACTCTGATGACTTTATCGCTGGCGCTAACCGTATGTGATAGAATTCTATTGTTGATGATGGCCGGCCAGATCATTTCTAGTTCCATTTCCATGAGCCTTAGAGCGATTGCTTGCAGTTTGCGGAATGTTCACAGAATGTGAACTTTTCATTAATTTTAGTCAGATCCTGCGTTGGACGACGTTATCGAGAATTTGGCTGGTGAATCGGAACGTGAGGATAACGTGCGAGATTTCACACCGGATTCTGAAGATGAAAAACATCTGCTACAACAGCAACATTGTCAACAAGAACAGCAAGAACTTCTTCACCGTAAAACAAATGGTGGCACTGAGCATAATCTAGCTGTACGTTTCATTCACGAATTTCAAAAAATAGTCGAATTAATCTTTGCCGCATCAGAAGTTATTTACATTTCAGTTCATGGAAACTTTCTCTCGGTTTTCTGCAGCATATTATACGTCCTTTTCAGCCACAACTTTGATGTGTTGCCCAACGCTAATTGTGTTCACATTAGATTCTCATAATGTACACGTCGATTTCGAAACTTTTATTGCTAAGCGTGATACAATTCAAATACAAGCCATTTTGAACTCTTCCAGCTCTTAGAAGCCGTGATACTCTCTTTCAGTTCACTTCAACTGCATACATCACTCTGTTCCATTGTTATTCGTTTCTTATCCGTAACCAAAAAAATTGTGCATGTGTCATAATTTTGAGGCTCAACATGCGCAAGAGGATGCGGATGCTGGAGAATTCTATATGCCACCGATAACTGGTGGTCCAACGCATCGTATGCGTGCCAGTGTTGGAGGACCTGCCAGCCAACGGTTTTCAATGGGTGGTAGTGGTGGTTCGGCATCCAATAAACCAAAGCTCTCACAACCGCTCTATTTCGATGTGGTTTTCATACCGCATCGTGGTGCACATCCAACTTTGCCCGACGAAGCGGCAGCAAAAGCTTTCGCCACCAGTGTTCGATCGAAGTGAGTCACCCAAATGTTGACTGTCCTAAAATCAAGCTACATTCTCTTGAAATTTCCACATTCATAATAGCTCCATATAAGGCATCGTTGCTCCATATATGGCATCGAATTGACTAAAATGAAAAATTAGCAAACAAATTATGTAGTTTTAAGTCGTAAGTATAGTAAACATTTCAATGAAAACACGATTATTGAATTCTGAATGCGATTTTGAGTTGGGTGATTTGGAATTTTCAAGTTTACTTCTGTTAGACCAGAGATTTTGGAGTTCATCTGTTGATCTGATTGATCAGAATTGATCTCGGTATGGTTATGACCATTCATTAGTGCGATACTCGCATCCAACTGAATGTTTGTTGCTTTGCCATTGCAGGCGATATGTTATTAGCGGTAAAGATGCAATCAAACCGTATATTTTGGATGGTCTCGTGGCCGGAAAAACCCTTTGGAATAAACCAGGTTTGTGATTGCATGTTTTTTCACGTAGAATTTATGCTTCTAACTTTTCACATCCGATATTCCGTATGAAAGATTCTTCTGAACGAAAAATTTTGCAGTCATCGTTTGCGTGGC